GACGGTTTTTGATCAGCATTCATGTTATAAACTCTATCTTTGTGTGCCTTATTTATAAATTTCTGGCTATTTAATTCTGATCCCTTCTCTGTTTTCTATGAATAGGCAGATCAACATTTAACATTCGCTACTGTCGCAACAAAAAAATGAAACATTACGCACTATCAACAACTCGCGATAGTCATGTAAAGCAGGAAATCATCAACTCTTTAGTGGACCATAAATATGAAATTGATGACGACTTTCATAGTGCAAGGACCTCAGGGAAAAAAAACGAAAAGATGTTACGGATGGGGATGATACAAGCTCATTGTCTCTCACGAAAAAGATAATGACTCAAAATTCGCCTCCCATCTACAGCATATTCCACAAATGAATGGATATCTATCATGTAGGCTGCGGTCGAAACAAATGTTGTAAAGAAAAGCAAGATTAATGAAGTTTTTGATAACATGAGAAATCGAAATATATATATTTTATGCGAACTGTTCAGACCATTATCAGAAACGGACGTGGAGGACCGGTTCGAGATGATAGCTCAAAACACTACTGTTGAGATTGATCTTCCTGAAGATATCAAGGAATATCTTCATAGTTCGCTCAGCGGAGATATTAAAAATACATTGTCGGAAGTAAAAAAAACACTTGACGAGGGCGCATAGCCATTGATGTTATGGACGAGAGAAGTCTGTCGACACTTTTTATTTTACTACCACTAATGGTGGCTTGCAAACAGACAGCGACGGAAAAGCTTGGTCCAACCAAACGGTCTATCGAATTTTGGATCTATTTTCGATGTTTTTTAGAAATTTGACATCAGGAATTGCCTTGTAAGCCTTTAATCTTGTACCTTTTCTTTTATGATAAATTGACATTGTTCTTGATTTAGTGGGGAAATCGTAAATAAGGCACACAAAGATAGAGTTTATAACATGAATGCTGATCAAAAACCGTCAAATTCAAGGAGAGGCGACAAGAACGATGCTGTCTTACATCAGAACAATAACGCTACAATTATATATGAACAGTCCTTTGGACCCACAGAATTTGACGCAACACATCATATGGGAGATATAACGAAACTAGCACGTAACGGAGTAGATGATTTAAATTATCACTTCTTACAATATAAAAAATCTTCCATAACAACAGCGAAAAAATTCAAATCCGTCGGAATCCATGGTTATAGTAGGTGTTTTCCTTTTTTTTGCATGAATGAGTTATTTTGTGGTAAGACTTACCTAACCTCTATGCTTTTAGAATATTTTATAGCAATTTACCTCACGGATCTTATTTGTATGAAAACGTATAGGATATATGAAATATTTAAGTGTAAAATCCCAATGTTATATACAGACTGATAGTTTCTAGCTAAAATTGCAAGAATAGGCATTTATTTGGAGGTATTTCTTTACAAGGCATACAAATACATTTATTTATTTTACTTTTTTATAAACACACTTTACAGAACGACAGTTTTTAAAGGAGAAATGGGCATGGAAGACGCAATTAATGATAATTGTTCTAATTGTGTGTGCAATTGGATGGCAATTCCGGATAACACTTCAGAAGCAAAAAGAACAAAATAAAATTAGATATGATTTTTTTTTTTTTGTTGTTAAGGCAGCTTACATTGCTGAAGGAATTTTATTAGTGTTGCAAATGGGATTATATATTGATAATTCCTACTGTTTGTAATTACATGAAGAGTGTATAACAAAGGTTTGATGATCTTAGTGAAGTGGTTAGGTTGTTAGACTGTTATATAAGAGGTCTGGGGTTCAAATCTCATTGTTGATAAATTTTAATAATTACTTAGATTTTTGTATCCAATTTACAGTAAATCCTGTTCATTTCTGGGGGTTGTAACTTTGTAAATCATATTGTACTAATGTTAATCAGATATTGGAAGTGTGATGCAATATTCAAGTTATGTTATACAAATAAATCTTAATAGGATCTATAGGCAAGGGACCTGTATGATAAAAATCCTGAATTAGGTGAAGTAGTATAGATTTTAACAATCACACTAGTTAATACTTGATCCAGAAAAGAAATCAATATATAAAGGTTGCAAATTGAGCAGATGCAAGTAAATCTGCTATATAATACAGTTTGGTGTCTTGCATTAGTAGTAATACCAATCTGGTTTAGTAGTTAACTGGATTTAGGAAGATCTAACTTGTAAAACTTCTGAATATATAGAGAACTAATCTAGTAAAGAGTTACAATAGAAACTGGATTTATATGAACATCTATAAGGATATATACTAGCTTATTTAAAATATAGTACAGTATAGTTAGAGTATTCTATAGGCTCTTTCTGATAAGGACAAAAGGGTATCTTGAGATAGAACCCTTCTAATAAAGGAAACTAAGGCACAAAGCTGGTCCAAGTAGTTCTCAATAAGGTAGCACAAGATTATACTAGTTTAAAAATAAAATTGAGTTAATGTTAGAGATAACAAGAATGTTAGAGAGTTTAAAATAGAGTATTCACAAATAGATACTAGGTATAGCAATTAGTAGATAACCTCCAGGCAGAACCTTTAAATAAACAATAATTAAAGTTATAGGTATAACTAATTATATTCTTATTATCTAATATAAATCTACAAACTACTTAATAAAAATTAACTGGTATCGAGACCTTATTAAAATAATAAAAAAAAAGAGTGTACAACAAGCTATATATATAACTTTAGTTATTATTTCTTTTAAATAGTTCACTGTACAGACATTAGACTACTCAATTAGTTCTACACTATACTACTATATCTATAACTCATCTATAAGTTATCTATTTAAATACTCTATTTATTAACCTATACAGATCTAATCTAATATTACTACAATACCTAATTATTTAAGTCAACTAGCTTGTTATAGATCTATTTATTTAGAATGGCTTAGATCCTCTCAAGATATATTATACTAGATACATTGCTAGTATTGCAGAGCTAGTTAATCTCAAAGCAAGCCTACTAAAGCAGTCTATATCTATTTTACAAATTCACCTAGCTTAGACTCTTGTAGATATTTGTACAACTTCAGGTTCTACTATAATTCTCTACTAGACAATTGATCTAGTTCTTTTTCAGTATTTAGTTAGTTCTAGTTACCTTTTATTCAAAGATCTTAAAACCTTTTACCTTTATTAGATCAAGTTTTCTTTTTAGATTAGACTTTAGTTGATATAGTCCTGTCAAAAGACTATATTACTTTATTGACTTGAAATTTCTACTATGCAGATCCTTTGCTTGTATATTCTATTAAAAATTTTTTTTTTTTTTTTTTGGCAATCTTGCTCATCATTTTATTAAGGAAAAGCTTACATATACTACAAAGTAAATTACTATCTAAAGTATAATAAAGTACCCTCCTTC